CATTACAAATGATTAATTCGATGCGAACGAAGTCGCGGGTACACGCTAGTTGTATATAAAACAACTCCAAATTCCCAACTGGTAAAAGAGTACGACAGGAAGATTCGATATACCCAAAGCTGTTTACAGCAATACTAAAAGAAATCTTCCGTCAACAGGACTGGACCAACAAAGGATTAAAAATAGATGGAAAATATCTTAACCATCCAAGATTCGCTGGTGACATAGTCCTAATTGCCAGTAGTTCTGGAAAACTACAAGCACACATCAACGAACTATATACAACGAGCAATAAAGTAGGTCTCAAAATAAATTTAGCAAAAACTAAAGTAATATACAACGAACTGGTAGACAGAAAAGACATAAATAACCTCATGGTTAAAATAGAAAACTAAATAAAGAAACGATATTCGTGTATAGATAAATTATGAAAAGGTTTTATAATCAAGTAAAAATTGACTTCGACAGTTTAGAAAATTGTTAGATAATTGTAGCAAGGGCGGTAGAAAAAACTTTAACTTGAAATACTTTATTTTTACTGATTATAAATAAAAATGTTAAATTTTATATGTTTAAATAAATTATTTACTAACTCTAAATATTATCTGAATTAAATTTATTTGCTAAAATTAATAAAAAAACATAATTTTTCTTTAATAAACTTCTTTTTATTTCTTTTAAACCACTAATTAGATTTATCGGGGTTTCTCGATACAGCAGCAGTTTTATTATAAAGAAAAATATAACACCGTTACGATGAAGTTTACATTACAAATTAACAATGAATAAATGATAAACCAATCCTGTAATTAAATTTATTATTTGGCGTTTTAGGTCAATATTTATATTATACCGCACTGTACACAAGAAATTTATTAGAAACTTCGATATTTTTCTTTGATTTTGTGTAGGTAGATAATTGTGTAATATACGCGATACCAAATAAACTTTTAGTACGTAATCGAGGGCACGATTATTAAATTCAATGTTGCCAACCAAGGACATATTCGGCGCCGGGCTGACTAATTGGAATTTAAATGTCCCGCCGGCGATTCAGGGGCTAGCTCTGATGTAAAAAATGTCAAGTTTGCCACACTTTTATTTCCTGAAATTTTGATTCGTTTTGACGCTTGAGTTTTGCATTACGACTTGTTGGTTTAAGTGAATTGTGTTGTGATTTGTGATACTTACAGCTTAAAATTTTTTACTAGCAGATCTTGCAGTCGAAAATTATTTTTTTAGAACCGCTTATAGTGCAAAGTGTACAAGATGCCACAGCTGCTTAATAGCCGTTGCAAAAAAAGCATCGCAACCCTATTAGAATATTTTGAACAGGAAAGCGGTACTAATGATCCTTTATGTCCCGTAAGTGCTGTTAAGGAGGTGAGTTTTGTTGATGTATATAATAACTGTTTATATATTTTTATAATTAATTCATTTTTATTTGGTAAAATATTTTGATTAAAAGAAAATATGTAAAAGTGGGCAACGCTGTGCCGGGAAAGCTTAATCAGGTGACTAAAAGTTTATTTGGTATTATTTATACACTTCCCCAATAAATTAACGCACCACAAAAAAATAACCAAAAGTTTAAGTTAAGTTTTTGTCAAAACCACTTATCCGATTTGGACGATTTTTTTTTGAATGATAGGTTATTCTTTCCACAATGTTTCTATACTAACTGTATTTTGATAGGAACCCTTTTTATACTAATATCGGGTGTAGCAATTATAACGTGTTTTTTTAATAAAATTTGTGACACCCTGTAGAGTTGATCAGTTACAGTATCAAGTTAAAATTGAAATCACATTTTAGCCTTATCTTTTTTTTTTACATTTTGTTTTTTTATTTCCTCCATTATCTTCTTTATTACACGAGAAACAACATTTTATAGGATGACATGATTTAATATTGGTTTTAATTAACATTTTTCCATTTTACTCACTAAAGTAAGTAGCAGGCTATGGAAAAACACGGATTACCAGTAAATGTCAAATAGAGATGCTAGTTTCTGTGCAAACTTGTAGACCATTAGTATCTTTGAGCTGAGTTTGAAGGGTCCGAGCTGTTACGAAACGTTGTCTTAATGTTGGGAGTTTTAAAAAACGTTCCTGAATCGGATTGGTTCTTCGATTCCTGCCTTATCCCGGCCTGCGACAATTACTCCCAGTATCTCTATACCGTTGTATAACTCGTGAAATGGTTGAGTGAGATACATTAAATCGTTCACCAATTCTTCCGTAGCTCCAACCTTCCTCAGACAATATTAATGCTTGAGCACATTCTTCGCCAGTAAGATTTCTTGTTTCACGTGCACGCTGCATATTTTTGATATAATAAAAGGACGAAAACGACACTGACAACAAGCATCTCTATTTGACATTTACTGGTAATCCATAGCCTGCTACTTGCTTTAGTGAGTAAAATGGAAAAATGTTAATTAAAACCAATATTAAATCATGTCATCCTATAAAATGTTGTTTCTCGTGTAATAAGGAAGATAATGGAGTAAATAAAAAAATAAAATGTAAAAAAAAGATAAGGCTAAAATGTGATTTCAATTTTAACTTGATACTGTAACTGATCAACTCTACAGGGTGTCACAAATTTTATTAAAAAAACACGTTATAATTGCTACACCCGGTATTAGTATAAAAATGGTTCCTATCAAAATACAGTTAGTATAGCAACATTGTGGAAAGAATAACCTATAATACAAAAAAAAAATCGTCCAAATCGGATAAGTGGTGTTGACAAAAACTTAACTTAAACTTTTGGTTATTTTTTTGTGATGGGTTAATTTATTGGGGAAGTGTATTTAGGAAGTACTGCAGAAATGATAGAAATCATTTTTTTAAAATATTAAAGATAAATAAAAATGTCTAAAACAATTTTATGACAAAATTCGTTTTAAACATTAAACTGGGTAGAGAAATAACTACATTTAAATTTAATTTTAACCGGATATAGTGACAAAATTATATTAAAGCCATTCCATTGAATTTTGGTATATTCATAGCCGAGCGTAACAAAAAGCCATTGGTTTATTAATCTTCAATAATGTGACAAAGAGCTTTATACGTAGCTTTCTCATTCACATTTGAAAGCGCATAATTGCTTTATTAATTATTTATATAATTTTATTAATTTTTTTCAAAGTTCCGTCGAAAATCGAATGAAAATATATATTTTATTATATATAATTTACTTCCTTTTTGCCAATGTAGGTAATGTAGTAATACTAATGTAATATACAACACTATAAGTACAGAAAATAAAATATTTAGAATTCGACGTTAAAAAGCATAACATATTTTTTGTTAAACAAAGATGCTCCAATTCTTCCAATCAAGATGTAATACTGTAACGCTGAGAATAATATCGATTGGGGGAGCAAGATCTTTTATGTCATATGTACAATAAGTATATGTGTATAAAAACAGACTCTATGTCAATTCTTTTTTATTTGATTTTTTCTTTCTATACAGTGAACATCTATACTCTATACTAATATATAAAATCCTTAAGTGACTCACTGATTAATCACGATTCTGCTCAAACCACTCAACGTAAAAAGCTCAATTTTGGCATACAGGTTGATTCTAGGGTTCGAAATTCCAGTTCCAAGGGGGTGAGACCACCCCTCAAATATTACAATATTTTTTATTTAAAAAACGGTCAAGTTTCCGAAAAAACGCTTAAACACGTATAGTTTATTTTGTTCTTTTACATATTTTAAGATTTTTTAAAAATGTATACAGGGTGTTTCGAAAAATCTGGTCATTGATTAATCACTATCCTGCATAAAGCGCTTGACGTAAAAAGCTGATTTTTGGAAAACGGATTGACTTTAGGGTGTAGAGGTTCAATAAGAAGGGATTTTTCGAAACTCGAATTCTAAGAGGGTGAAACCACCCCTCAAATACATATTAGAATATTTTTTATTTAAAAACTGGTGAGTTTTTTGGAAAAACTCTTAAATACGTATATTTCATTTTGTTGTTTTACATATTTTAATATTTTTTTATTTATACTGCGTGTTTCATAAAATATGACCATTGAGTAATCACGATTCTGCTTAAACTGTTTGACGTTTAAAGCTGATTTTTGGCAAACGGATTGACTGTGGGGTGTAGAGGTTCGATAAGGAGGGGTTTCTCGAATCTCAAATTCCAAGAGGGTGAAAACGCTCGTCAAAAATTACAATATTTGTTATTTTAAAACGGTTAGTCTTTCGGGGAAACGCATAATTAATTTTGTTTTTTACATATTTTGAAATTTTTTAGAAAATTATACAGGGTGTTATACAGTCACAACCAAAAAGTTGGGTAATTGATTAACCACGATTCTGCTTAAACTGCTTGACGTAAAAAGCTTATTTTTGGGCAAACGGATTTTTCGGAAGTCAAATTCAAACTGAAAGAGATGAAACTACCCCTCAAATATTATCAAGTTATATAATAATATTGCTGCTATGCTATAATATTGCTAAACTACAAAGTTACAACTATTAAAGTATCTGAATTTAGGATAACGTCTATAGTAAATAATCATGTAGGATCTCGTACAAGCACAAAACTATCTCATCAAAGGGCATATTAAATGATTATTTAGATTCAAACCTAGATCTTAGTCCTCCAAACTCAGCCATCCCCGCTAAAACTAATCTATTATCTCTAATAAGCGTAATGTCCCACCCGAAGTTTGTCTCAACAGAATTATAACAGCGTTAGGGGATAGCTTTTGGGACTTAACTGATGTAATTATTAAGTAAACCCTGATGTCCTGCAAGTTTTGTCCAACAATAATATAACAAATAATATTACCTTTGTCAACACATTCATTACTACTCGTAAAATAAGTAATAAACTTTTGAGATCAGTCTGATTGAGTATGTCACTCTCGCTAAATCGGCAACGCATATTACTAATTAAAAAATGTTTCAACTTAATATTGGCTTCACTTCACCAAAAATACAATAAAATATAGAGTAAACTTACTCCTCCCCATCCTAGAGCTCTTGCCAAGTCATTCCCTGTACCCAGCGGAAGAACTCCTACCGCAGGTTGAGGGTTCATTCCTATTTGATCTATCACGCTGAGTACCCATCCTACAGTGCCGTCTCCGCCGCAGGCTAGTACCCTCAGGTTTGGTACTTTTCTGAAGAGTTCTAAGCCTAGTTTCGGACCGCCTTGAGTTAAGTCAAAAACCTATAATTAAAAAAAAAAAATTCAGAAAAAAATGAATTTATATATCGCCCATCCCTAGACAACCTATTTAGTTTTTGGTCTAAAAATTATAGTAATAAATTTGACTTACTTGTCGTGGATTAAGTAACCATTGGAACTTTTGGAGTAGTTTAAGGCCTTGGTTTCCTCCCGATTTCGGGTTAATAAAAACGATCACAGGTGTCACGTTGGTCGATGGAATGGGCTTTATTACAAAAGCTTTTTGTTCTTTATCCTGAAATTACAAAAAAGAAGAATCTAAATTAAAATTTAAAAATATTTTTCAGAAATAAGAATAGGTATTGATTTTTACACTAGTTTAGGAGATTCCAGGAAACGTGCATTATTATATGGGATAACCCCGTATATAATTAGATTTTTTGTCTTATTTGCCTTACAACGGAACAACAAACAATAAAAATGCAACAAAGTTAACAATATAACTTTATGGCTTTAGATGTATTTTTGAACCAACGATATCTTTTAATAAGCGCGTCATATAATCCTGTAAGAAAATTTTATTTTTCCGACTGCAGATTTCCTTGAATATTCTGTCAATTTACCGTCAACATAAAATGATTTTTACTGTCACAGTAATATTTTCCGGTAAATAAATCTCTTTTATGGAGAAACAAGTCTTTAGGACCTTTATTTAGTCACAGAACGACTGACTATGAAAGACTTGCCGCACTCGTAAAGATTGTTTATGGCATTCACTAATTTCGCATTATGGTCTAGAAAAGAATAGTTAGAATTTTAGTGTGACTATTTTAATGTTAGATACGGTCTTAGATGCATTCATATTTCTTGAATTTTATTATATTTTATACCTATAGTAAACATTTTATTTTTATACATTCATATTTCCTGAATTTTATTATATTTTATACCTTTAGTAAACATTTTATTTTTATACATAAGTTTTCTACACTAAAAGACAATGTTGGTGTGATTTAAATCGTGATTTAAATCAAGAGATGTTTTTTTATCATGTGATTTAAATAAAAAAATCAAGTTTCTAAAAACTTTATATTAAATCGAAAAATAACTGTGAAAGTTATTATAAAAATGTGTCCTAGAAAACAATAAAAAATATTTCTATAACAGATATATTAATATTAGTTTAATAGATAATATATTTTTGCACTTTGTGCTTAGGCGTAAAAGTGCTTTACTTTTATGTCTAGGCGTTAAAATGACAAAAATTAATACTTGACGTTTGAAAAAAAATCCTTTTGTTCTGAAGAGAGCGATTTTTTTGCGGAATATATTGGTGACCGATGTGGAAAAATGACACGCGCCGTAGATTTGTTAATATTATCAGTATCGGGCAGAGTTACGAAGATTTAGCCATTTAGAATAGGATTTTAATTGGAAGTAAGTCCTAATTATTTGGATATCCGATTTAAATAGTGTTTTGTATTAAAATAAAAAAAACTGATTTAAATTTTAAAAAAATCTGATTTAAATAAAAAAAAATCTGATTTAAATAAAAAATCTGATTTAAATAAAAAAAATATCTCATTTTAGATTACTAAAAATTGGTTCGCTTATTTCAAATTGGAAAAAAACAACTTTTTTAATAAGGTTTTAATAAGGTTAACTTTTTTTAACATTTTACAGTAAATATATTCATCAGTTTTATGTAGTAAAATATTCCAATTACATTCTGAAATAGAAAGAAAATTATTGGAACATTACATAATTTATCTGAATATGAATGTCGTTTTCTAATTTAGTTTAAAATTTTAACCTGAGGTATGTATGGTAATTTTAACCTATGTATGTATAAATTATGGATCCACTAAAAAAATCATTTTATAAAAATGCATAAAGTGTTTGATAATAGTTGGTCATTTTTTTCTTCTAATTATTATTTTAGATTACTAAAATATTCAGTGATTCTAATCATTTGAATTAACGTTACTTTAACGATAAAAACTTGATGATGAAAGAAGTATCGTTGCGTGAGTACTTTGCTCCTTTTGAGTGGTCACGCTATATCTCAGTTAGTATCAAAGAGAGAACTGTTTCTATCAAGCAAGCGCTGGCCTTTCTTATGTCTGTTAAATAAAAATCCATAGAAGCGACTGATTCGATATCGTTACAGTATCAGATAACATTTCTTTATGTGATAATTGATGGCTGTTTTTATTCTTTTATATATTTCTTGAGATAGTGTGAAAATATATATAAAACATAAAGTATAGAGGGTGTTTAAAAAAAAACATGTGCTATCTCTCGTGGAGGGATTCCTCAGATAGAACTGTTTTATCAAAGAAACGAAGGAACTTAACTTATCAACCTCTAGAATAGTCTATCTATTATGCCCTTTTTGAGTCGCATCTTCGTTATAACCTTCCATTCTGGGGTGCTTGCTGCGCGACAAAATTTGATCGTATTTTAAAACTTCAAAAGAGAGCAGTTCGATATTTATTGGGACTGAACAGTAGAACTCACTGCCAGAATTTCTTTAAAAATTTGAAAATACTAACTCTTCCTTCTTTATTAACTTTTGTGAATCCGTTTGCTTAATCCGCAAGCACATATCTGCTATTCCCGAAAGGCCATCTCACAACTATCCACTTAGGAATGCGGAGAACGATCTTTATCTGCCAACCCCGAGCTCAGAACTAGTTAAAGGCTCAATACTGTACAATGCCAAAAAAATGTACAATCATCTGCCTTTGAATATCAAGTCGCTTTCATTCTTTCCCGCATTTCGCAAAGCTCTGAAATCGTACTTACTGGAGAGAGCCCTATATGCGGTAAACGACTTTTTTTTGATGTTTAATCAAGAACAATTTTGAATTTTAAAATTTTGATCATCTCACACACTGGTTAAAAGTCTGGTATTTAATATTTTATGACTCACATGATTATATCCATTTACAATTTTCCTATTGTAAAATTTTATTGATACGCCTTTTTTGTGTTCTGCAATGTCCATGTAATTAATATAGTAATTTCTGCAATGTCCATGTAATTAATATAGTAATTTTAATGACGTAATTTTTTTTGAATTGTATGATTTGTAATGTATGGTATTTTTTATTATTTGTATATTTTTTGTGCTTTTGTTTGTTTTGTAAATGCTTTGTCGATGAAGCTATTTAACTTTTTGTACAATAAAACGTTATTTATTTTATTATTTAAGATAGATATCTAAACGTTTCTAATAAAATTATATATCATTTTGTTTATATATTCTTTTTTGGTATAAAACCTGACCCAGATATGAAGAATGCTCTTTTTATAAACTCTATGGATTTAAAGTTTCTGATATAATTTTAACGACTTACCTTATCTCTAGTTCTTTTTTTACTGGAAGCTCGTTTCTTGGGCGTTTTTCTCAAACTGGACTTAAAACTGCCTTTTCTCGGCAGCTTTACTATCCACGAGGGAGGAACTATTATACTACTATGTACACCTGGAAAGAACAACATAATATAAATATTAAATTTAAATAACCAGAGTCATTCATTTAGCTAAATTGTATTATTGAAGAGTCCATTTAATTACTCTGAAAAAGTAGCAAAATAAGCGTTCGGCATTTAACGTTTTATGTAAAACTGGCTAAGTAAACAAAAGAAGAAGGAAATTAAAGATAAAGGATTATACTATATCCGTATAGTAGCACATTTTTAGACAACTTCTTTATTTTTAAGATTTTGATGGTCAAACATCAACAAAATATTCCTTATGTTTGGACTAGGAATTTTAAATTATGTTTTTATATTCGAGAAAATCAAGACATATTTTAAAATTCCCTTACAATACGGAAATATGGAAAATACGAACTAATAGAGGATCATAAGGCTTTGAAAACCGAATTTCGGGGATATTTTTGGATCAAAAATTGTTTTCACACCGTTTATTTTGTTGTGTTATTGAGAGCATTTACATATATAGCATCAGCAAATTAAAACTGAAAATTTGCGTATCTATGTAGATATCATGTTAATTCACACTCAGCAGAGACATGTAAAAAACATAAACAAATATTTTTTTTGAGTTATAACCAATTCATAATTTTTTAGCAAATTTCACTCAAGTTGGCGTGGTATTCTTGTTCTATTATCATTTATAACTTACAAAAAGACAGAATATTTTATTAAACGGTTTAACAAAGCCACAGGCATTCTAGATTGAAATTCAAAATACTATTATTTGTAAGCGAAAATGTCAAAACTTGACATATTATGATATGTCATTCTATTCAAAGTCTCATTTTCTATCGAATAAACTAAAAATATACCGAGAGTGCCATTTAAAAATCAAAAGTTGTAGTCATTTCCGGTGAAAGATGAAGTGACGAAAAACAATTGATTACGTCCATCAATCCTAATTTATGTTATATACTAACATACCAAATTTCATTTTTTTATCTAAAAAAAAATAAAAAAGTCATGGCCGAGTCCCTCACTAAAACTTATAACACATTTTTGTTATAAAAATCAATTTTGTTATTCAATTTCAAAAAAAGTTTGTTGAATTTTATCTTTTATTTGATATTTTTTCAATTTCCTGTAGAATATATGTTATAATACATAATGAAATTGAAAGAATATCTTCGTTAAAATAATATTTTGTTCAAAAATACGAGTTTCATACGAGGAAAAACAATAATATTTTATTTCCAATAATAGGGCATCCTAGTAAAATAACAATTCTTCTGTAATATGTATGTAAATTTATTCTGCACATGTTAGGATAAAGTATAGGGAATGAAAAGAGAAAACTCCAATATTTCCATATAGAAATATTAGTTTTCTAATATGTATCTAGTTTCAACAACAAAATGCAATTTATTTTTCAATTTTGCGACGTTAAATAATTGAATAGTTAATATTTTGCCTCTCTGCAATAACTAATAGGACATTAGTATTAACTAAATTAAAGGAATTAATAATAATTATGTTCGAAGTATAATTACTGTAATTCTCATTAAAAAAAGAAAAAAATATTTAAATTTTATAAATTTATTTATACCAAAAATAATTTGTCATATACTTGAACAAAAAATTTTGTCTATAATTATTTTTGAATAATAAATGACATATCATATGTCAACTTCTAACATTTTCGCATATGGTTTACTTGAAAATGTAAAATGCGGTTCATAACGACAATTTTACTTGAAATATACCAAGTGTGTGGTACCAAATTATTCGTAAATAAATGCTGTTTCCAAATATGCTAATGAGCCTAAGCCTAATGAACTTAACTAACAACCCTTGTTCCATTTGAAAAATTGAAATATGATTAAAATACGACTTGGGTATCTTTTAACCGGCCAAGATAAGACACGAAAAACGTTAGACAATCAAATCTATTTTTCCATGCGAAAATGCAAAAAGATGACATATTATGATATGTCATTCTATTCAAAGTGTCATTTTCTATCGAATAAAGTAGAAATATACGGACGGTGCCATTTAAAAATCAAACGTTGGTTGTAGTAATTTTCGGTGAAACAGGTAGTGACCAATAACAATTGAATACGTCACTCAATCCTAATTTATGTCATATACTAACAACCCAAATCTCGTCTTTTTATCAGAAAGAATAAAGAGTTATAGGGGTGAGCCACGTTTGAGACTCACCCGGTATAGTTAAAGATCTTGTCAAACGTACTTATGAGAGTATTTTTGAAAAAGTAAGTCAGAAAAATAAAAGTTGAAATATTAGTCCACGTGCAGCAAAAAATTTTACTTTCACTCAAGCTTCCCCGCGTTTTTATGTTTTATTTTTTTAAAAAACGTGCCGTTTTACAAATTTATTTCGCTCAGGTCAGCCGCGAGGGGGCGCTTTTACGGCCCGCATTACGCTACCAAGGACACAGCGTAGTTTTGAATTTATTATTTACATAACGGCTGGGTTGTATTGTCGTTAGGGTGCGTGGAGTAAGGGCCTAAGAGCAAAAAATAAGGGTAAAAGATACTTCTGGTACAATAGAAAGGAGGTTCCTCTTAAAAATACATGTTTATATTATTTTATTTTAGGTCGTGTTTCCATAACTATGGTTATGGAAAACAAATGTACAGGGTGGTGGTACATATCGATGTACGGTTTTTACCATCATGTTTCCTGATAAAAATTGAGCTCCAGACACCGATATTATTTTTCGTCAGTCTCCTGTAGAAAAGGATGTTTCTCCTGTCCTTGTCAAAACCTGTTTCACCGAAAATTACTACAACCAACGTTTGATTTTTAAATGGCACCGTCCGTATATTTCTACTTTATTCGATAGAAAATGACACTTTGAATAGAATGACATATCATAGTATGTCATCTTTTGGCATTTTCGCATGGAAAAATAGATTTGATTGTCTAACGTTTTTCGTGTCTTATCTTAGCCGGTTAAAAGATACCCAAGTCGTATTTTAATCATATTTCAACTTTTCAAATGGAACAAGGGTTGTTAGTTAAGTTCATTAGGCTTAGGCTCATTAGCATATTTGGAAACAGCATTTATTTACGAATAATTTGGTACCACACACTTGGTATATTTCAAGTAAAATTGTCGTTATGAACCGCATTTTACATTTTCAAGTAAACCATATGCGAAAATGTCCAATTTGGCCCACCCTGTACACAATACTGTTTACTGTATATGTTTTCCGGATAAAATCTGCGCTACCTTGTATTAATATTGGTTAATATTTTATTAAATTTTGATAAAACTGATAAAAATGCATATCGTCAGTGAAACTTGATAACCTGCTAACTCCATTTTTTACGTTAATAAGTTTTTTTATACCATTAGAAAGAGAAAAAAATACTCTATAAATAGAGAAAGCAAATACATTTTTTCTCATTAAAGAAAATTTGCTATTTTAACTCATTAATATCTGCTAACTCCCAGTGATCTGGAATAGCCACCGAAATGCTGCTATCTCCATAATTTCTGTTATGATCAATTTCAGTTATGTTTTCTTTAGTACAGTATGTCGATCCAGGGTCGCACTAGGCCAAAGGGGTCCGGGTGGCAATGTAAGGAGGGGCCCGTGTGGATTTTTTTTCGTATTTTTTCGCCTTATGTTTTGGTCAATTTTTCCCTATTATATACAGGGTAAGTCTTAAATAAGTGCAAATATTTTTAGGGGTAGTATATTTCGACCCAAGAAACACGATTATGAGGTTTTTTGCGCGATTTTTGGATTTTTGAAGATTTAGAATTAAAAAAAAGGATTTTTTTTTAATTTTTAGTTTAAAAACATACTTTGTTTGTAATATGGCAACATAGGTAGTAGTTTAAATTTACCAGAAAGAAAATCCAATGATTCTCAAAATTACAGCAAAAAATTCGAAATTTTAAAAGTGAAATAACTCGGTTGTTTTGGATTTATTTGAAAAAAACGGTAAAAAGATAATATTATGTTTCTTTTATCGAGATTTACCAGCCCTGAAAATATTTGCACTTATTTAAGACTCACCCTGTATAGAAATCAGAGAACTACCCTAATGCAAGGTAAACCAATGCAATGCAAATGCCATAATGCAGTGCAAAAGCAAATATTGTTAAGAATAAATAATGAACTATAAAGGGGGCCGGCGAAGGCTGGGGCCCCCTTAATTGTTATATCCCCCTAATAGTTATATATTATAAATATAATATAGCCAGTCCGACCCTGCGTCGATCCGTTCTGTAAATACTGGTTATCCGTAAAGGGTAAGGGTTCCGACGACGGAAAGAGAAAACTTTCCGAAACGTTAAGCATTTTTTTCTTTGTTAGGCAAATTTTTATTACTGTAAACACAACTTCTGACAAGCAGCGTCCGTTTAGGTTTAACGCCAGAAGTGTTTACAAAAAATAACTATTTTATTTTGTAGATTTTTCTTGCAGTGCAGTGGCGAAGAACCCATAAGGATTTTTTTGGATAGATGAATCCGCCACATAGGTATGGACATTTTTTACGAAATATTGAGTTATATTGTTCCTCAGCAAATAAAATTCTAATCTCTTTATCATATTAACGCATGAAAATACTTCCTACATGTGTACATACTTTTTTGTACCGTTTTTTTGCTCTCCTGTAAAATTAGGAATAATGGAGTTAGCAGTTTATCACATTTCACCGACGATATATTTTTGTATTTAGAGAAATTTTTCTATCAAATACACGCTAGTATACAGTAAAAACTTTTCGTCCGTACCCTGTATAAAACTACTGAGTAAAAAATATACATTTAAGACGTTTTTTGCGTAAAAAAGGTTTCTTGGAAAAGATCGCTACCGAGTAATGGTTCTCGAAATATTTGGAATCGAAATTATCAATACCTGTCATCAGTGACATAAAGTAAACATGTTGACTAAATACTTATTAGTTATTAAATCATAAATTTGATATGTTTTTGTGTCTTTAACATTTTTTTACGTTTTTTTACGTAAAGAGACATTTTTTACGTAAAAAATCTCGGAAATGTGTATTTTTTTCACTCAGTTTTATACATGTACGAACTATAAAAGTTATTACTCTTCAAAACAGTTAAAACACATGTAAGTGGCGCCCAGTACAAATAGGAGTCATATTAACAATCAAAATCAAATTTCTCATGCTAAAAAACTCCCAGACACCAATTTTCATCCAAATTTTGACGTTACTTCAGAAATGATTTGGAAAAAATCGAAATATATATGGAACTTCTACACCCTGTATCACCGAAACTAAGCATTTTAGAACATACATTTATACGAAGTTTTTTACTTATGTTTATCTGCAGAATATGCTGCCGAAGTTTCCGGAATACAGTTCGGACCACCCTGTATAGGGTGTTCTATTAAAAAATAACACAGGACATTTGACAGCGTATATCATTTTAGCTAATACGCCATAAAACTTGATTAAAAAATCAACAATTGAATTTTTTAAAGAATGTTCTGTATCCAAAAACATAAAAGTGTCTCTTTTCATAGTCGGTTGTGGAACAAAATGAAATAAATTCACTGTACACGCCAACTCGAATAGAGTTTTCAGCATTTTTCAGGATAAATTAAGCAAACATTATTTGTGAACAAACCATCCGGTTTTCTTCCGATGCGATGTCACGTTTTATAGCAATTCCCTGAAACATTTCTTATTGTCTCCGTTGAGACTTCTCGTTCTCTTGCGGTAAATTATCGTCCTTGTTTTAAACAACCGAACGAATTGTGTCTTTCGTCTCTGTCTGTTTGAAATAAGAGCTTTGAAAAATGCATATGATTATTTCTGTCTTATTATTCTGTCTCCTACGTGCAGTATACGAAAAAACGGGGATATTAACCTGAGGGCACTTAAAAATAGTCATTTATCTATGAAGGGAATTATAAGGGTGTTAAAGTTTCTGCACAATAATTCCCGAGGTTATTAACACTTCATAATGCAAGTGGTACATAGATTATTTTATTTCTTACTGATAACTTTATATAGGGTGTCCCAGAAATAAGTGCAAGTATTTTAAGAGATGGTAGATCTCAATAAAAGAAACACATTTTCTTTTTATCGTTTTTCAAATAAGTCCAAAATAACGGAGTTATTTTACTATTTCCAAAAAAATGATTTTTTGCTAAAATTTTGAGAACCACTGGATCTTTTCTGTATTTTCTTTCTTGTAAATTTAACCTAATACCTATGTTGCCATATTATCAAGAAATTATGTTTTTAAACCAAAAACTAAAAAAATTATCAAAAATTTTTTCAAAAAATTTCGAATTTTAAAAAAAAATTTTCACGAAAAAAACCTCATGGGCGTGTTTCTGGGGTTGTATTATACTACCAGTTAAAATACTTGCACTTATTTCTGGGACACCCTGTATAAAGACTTACTGATAACCGTTTTTTATCTAATTAACTCTATACAGGGTGTCCCAGAAATAAGTGCAAGTATTTTAAGGGGTGGTAGATCTAGTCAAAAGATTTTTTTTTCTCTTTAACGTTTTTCAAATAAGTCCAAAATAATCGAGTTTCCAAAAAAAAATCATTTTTTGCTAAAATTTTGAGAACCACTGGATCTCTTCTGGATTTTCTTTCATGTAAATTTAAGCTACTACCTATGTTGCCATATTATCAAGAAATTATGTTTTTTAACATAAAATTAAAAAAAAATTCCAATTTTTTTTTTGCAAAAAATTCCTCATAGGCTGAGGCCGAAATATACTACCAGTTAAAAAACTTGCACTTATTTTTTCTTAACCCTGTATAAAGGGAATAGTAAAAAGAAAACTTACCTAAATTACATTCTTCGCCGATTCGTTGAATATTAAAACAAGTCTCCTTATTGTGATAAGCCGTCTTACACCAGGAACAACTGATTGCCACTATTTCCTTAGAGCTAAACGATAATTTCGATTGGAATGACTGAAACAATAAAAAATTAAAATTATTATTACTAGAAATTACTAAAACTAGAAAATAAATTACTAATTACGATTATTGTTCATATTTTATTAACTTCCCAAAATATTAATAAAATATATTTGGATTTACTGGGTGTTGCAATTTCTGTCACACAGTATATAAATCCACTGCCATTACTCACTGACGAGTATTTGGATATGCATCAGAAGAAGCGTTTTCTTTCATGAGCTTTTCTGTGACTGAAAAGCCCGATACGTGATGTTATCTCCCTACCGCACTCCGGATATTCAAAAATCTTATTGCTTTGTTGCTTCTTTAATTTTTGGTTGTCGCTGTTAACTGAGCAATAGCATTCTGCATGCTAATCCCCTTTAAATTTTCGTGGAAAATGTCCTTGTACCTTTTGTTTTGTCCACCAGGCCTCCTTTTACCGTCTACAAGCTCACCGTAAAGCAGAGATTTTGGTACGCGGTTTTCTTGCATTCTGCATACGGGGCCAGCCCAGTTTAAGGGGAATTTTGTAACCATGAATCCCAATACTCTCGCAATTAGCTTTTTCAAGCTTCCCCTAGGAGATGCAAGACCTTGTCGTTGGTGGGGAAGCTCCTGGTCAGGTGCTGGGGGGAATCCCCCCGAGCACTTGGCTTGGTCTAAGAAGCATCTCACTCATCGTCTTGTCCCTGACTGTAGTGTCGTGGCCAGGGAATTGCACCAAGACATATAACGATACCGGGCGGGGCTACGGACAGCCTCAACCTTGGGGCACCGGGGGGCACCCCATTGTATTTTACCCCTTACTTCTACATACGGGGCTCTGTAGAAGTGGACCGACTGTCCCTAGCGACTCATAGGAACACTATGAGATCTGGAAATAATAGTAATAAAAACATCACCGGTGAAGTTGTGGGGAAACCCCCTAGCGACACTGGGAACAGTAACAATGAAGGTTCCAAGGGCCCAAACCCAAAGAGAACTACAGGAGAGGTGGCTGACACTTGCGTGAGACCATCCTCCGCAAGTGGCATACAAGCCACATACAAGGGTCGGGAGCCTACCTCCTACCTCTAAACCCAACAGGCGACACAAGCTACCGTTTCGTCTACCCGGTCTGGGTCGTAGCTCCTCGACTGTGAGGGATACGGGTCTCCGTAGGAAGTCCTGGGACTGTATGATGAGTTATAACTCAAGAAAGGGGGACACAATAGATCTCTAAGATCGCAGAGATTAACCCCCCTCCCACTTATTCTAATTCTAATTCTAGCTTTTTCAAGGACCGATGCGTTTGATGGAACTATCGGATTCTTAAGAGTTGTTTAAGGTATCTCTGTTGCAACTTGTTTAATGCATTCATGTGTCGGCGGTACGGCACCCAGGTTTCGCTCCCATATAACATGGTGGGGATTATAACTGCTCGGTACACTGCAAGTTTCGCTTTTGTACTCAAATCATGATTGTAGAAAAACCTGTCTTTTAATTTCCAGAATGCTCTTGAGGGTATATAAATACTATGATAGAGACAAACTATTCTTTTAAAAAATTACATCAGAATTTTTCATCTAGGATTTTCCATGAAAAAAATCAAATTAAAATTAAAAAAAAGCAAAACTGAAAAACCATTCTCACTCAACTCTAAAACCAACAAAACTGCTAATAGACAAATGAATTCAATTTATGTTAGAATGTCGAGTGGGAGGGCCAACTCTTCATTCAGATTCAGACAGGCCACTTCCGAACCGTCACAAGTCAACCTTCTTCAATTCTACTAATTGCATTTAATTGAAATTCCGCTATGGTATGTCACGGAGCGAGATTTCCAGCGTTAAAACAGTTAAAATATACTGTCCGTGTTATAATTCTTTGAATGAGGGTGTTTTTTAAGAGCTGAGAGATTAAAATGACATAGTAAATCTTTAATTGTATACTCTGTTTTGCGGCAAAGGGAAGATTTCGATAGACCATGACAGAAAAAGCCAGATGACGTCCATACCAATCCATTTATTGCACTAAAAAAAGTTTCTATTTTTTAAGCGAACTATAGATGGGTTTATACCGGGTGTTTCTCAAAAGTGGCTCATCCCTATAACTTTTTTATTTTTTCAGATAAAAACCGACATACGGTACCAAGTTAGTATATGACATAAATCAGGATTGATTAACGTATTCTATTATTTTTGGTCACTTCCTGTTTCACCGGAAATCACTACAACTTTTGATTTTTAAATGGCTGCCTCGGTATATTTCTACTTAATTCGATAGTAAATGACACTTTGAATAGAATGACATATCATATGTCAACTTTTGACATTTTCGCATATGGTTTATTTGAGATTGTAACATGCGGTTCATAACGACAATTTGACTCGAAATACCAAGTGTGTGGTACCAAATTATTCGTAAAAATATGCTTTTTCCAAATATGTTAATGAGTCACCCTTGTTCTGTTTGAAAAAATGAGATATGATTAAATATACGACTTGGGTATCTTTTAACTGGCCAGAAAAAGTCACTAAAAACATTAGATGATCAAATCTATTTTTCCAAGACTCCTTGATTAAAAATTAGTATTTTTAACACAGTCATGGCATTCTAGATTAAAATTTAAAATACGATTTTTCTTTAAGCGATAATGTCAAAAGTTGACATTTGATATGTGATTTTATTCAGAATGTCATTTTCTACCGAATAAAGTAGAAATATACCGAGGGTGTCATTTAAAAATCAAAAGTTGTAGTTATTTCCGGTGAAACAGGAAGTGACCAAAAATAATTTAATACGCCAATCAATCCTAATTTATGTCGCATACCAAATCTCGTTTTTTTTTATCTTAAAAAATAAAAAAGTTATAGAGGTGAGCCACTTTCGAGGCGCACCCGGTATATTAATATATACGGGGTGCAAATATTTTAACTGGCAGTATAGTTCAACCCCAGAAACACGCCTATGAGGTTTTTTCGCGAAAAAAAAAAAATGAAAATTCGAAATTTTTTGAAAAATGTTTTGGAAATTTTTTTAGTTTTTAGTTAAAAAACATAATTTCTCGATAATATGGCAACATAGGTATTAGATTAAATTTACAAGAAGGAAAATCCAGAAAAGATCCAGTCTCGGATCCAGTGGTTCTTAAAGTTTTAGCAAAAAATCATTTTTGAAATTTCATTAATGTAAAATAACTTCGTTATTTTGGACTTATTTGAAACACGATAAAGAGAAAATATGTTTCTTTTATCGAGATCTACCACCCCTTAAAATATTTGCACTTATTTCTGGGACACCCTGTATTTGGACATAAGTTATATTGATAAATATAATAATAAATTCAAGAGGTTTATTGAAGTTTGAAAGTAAGAAATAAATAAATGAACATAACAAAACTAACAAAATTATTTACACCCGTCACTGAAATCAAATATCTGCAGAACAGAAATTCAACTTTAACATGAATGTCCCTTTTTTTTATTAAAATAACAACATTCGTATAATATACATGTAAATTTATTCTACATAATATTATTCCCGTGTTCCTTCTAATGGAAAAAGACAAACTTTATATTTCCATAATTATAATCAAAAAAGAAATGGAATGGTCTCGGAGCTGGAATAGAATTTGCATTATATTTTTATAGAATGAACGTAGTACATAGAGATTTTAAGAAATGCTGAAATAAAACATGCTCTATAAAAATTGTAAAAAATATTTGTTTTTGCCGAAATTGTCTCTTCTAAATTGCACCGAAATATAAAATAATAAATCTTCAGCTTTAATGCGGAAAATCACATTTTTCTCCTCATTTTCCACGAGGAAAAAGTAGCTTTGATGTTATTAAGGCCGATTTACCTTGAGGCTGCCGAGTGTAATTTGCCGGCGAACTTTTGACAACGAAAGCTTAGTAGAAATTTTCTCTTGTCGTAAAATACATTTTTGTCTTTTGCGCGGTGCAATAACAAAGCAAAATTCGTATCTCGTCTTTCTCTAATAAAATAATAATATTTTTAATAAAAACAGTTTGAACATAAAGTTCGGTTTTATGACATGCTGCGTCATTCTAGTTTCTAAAGATAAACTGCCGGTGTTCTATTCATAATGCTTTATAACTTCAGATAATAGACATAATGTCCTGGAAATCTTTATAGTTTAGTTTGTATTAAAAATTATCGGAACAACTAGGTACTTATTATGCAACCTAACCAAGTTCTTTTCCAATTCTTATCTGTGTAAAACTTGAGTCTGCCAAAACTGAGTTAAAATACAAATATATCACCCCAAAACGAAGGGAAAAAACAATATAGACGTCACTTTGCCTCTGCCACGTCAGACTTGGAAAACCATTTGTAAATGTCACGCATCCTTTTTCCTGATAAACGAGAAGGCCGGCTATTTTGTATGTCTCTGTTCGTTGCTAGAACTGGGAGTTTAGTTCACTCAATCGACTTCAGTAAAAATCAGTTCGTTTAGTTCATTTAGTTCACCAAATTGTAGTATCGGCAATTCGCACAGTGAAAGAATGAAAAGAATCAAAACAATTAAAAATAAAAAAAAATATGTGAGTAATAACGATTTAAGTCTTATCCTTGTCAGTAATGCCTCGGACCTGTGTTATTTCTTCTATTGCAATGTTTGTTTCTTAGTTTAGTACAATTTGAATCAATCTTTCACAATACAGTTCAACCATTCCCTATCTATTTTGCTCTAGTTCTTATTCTCACCCTAATTTTTAGTTTAGTTCAATTAACCGAAATATTTTCGATCCAACTTTTAGTTCATATAAGAGATTCAATCTTTTGAACTAGTTCGGAGCACAACTCTACTCGTTGCCATCGCAGTAGGCTATCTAGATCGTAGGCGGCGTGGTTTATGATGGGCAGATGTTTTTTGACATTGCCATTAATTAGAGACGATGGGTCGAAAGGTCGACGAAAAAGTCCAGAGACTAGGCTCGACAAATTATATAATAATTTGGAAAACATTTTAATACAAAATGTTTTTGTATATCGCCAAATTGCCAGAAAAACTGAAATTATACTCTTTTTGTTCATGGCACAGATTTTAAAAACGACTGAATGATTAATTACTTCACTGATAAAAAAGATAGACTTGAACTAAAGTCGTCATCGTTCTTGAAAAAAAAATTTAGTTGCAAGAGAATTTATTTTAGCGTAAAAGAAAATATTTTGCCTGAAGAAAAACTCTCTTAACTCAAGAAAACTGGTTCTCTTCAAAAATTCGAAAATTTCTCTTTAATCTATTTTCATTCAAACAAGTGCAAGTTACTTTGTTTTAAGATAATACGAAAAATACGCTAGGAAGTACTTCATTCAAGAAACATGGCCATTTTTCCAATAGCTAAATACTCTTTTGATGAAAAATATAGGCTTGACAAATTATATAATAATTTGGAAGACATTTTAATACAAAATGTTTTTGTATATCGCCAAATTGCCAGAAAAACTGAAATTATACTCTTTTTGTTCATGGCACAGATTTTAAAAACGACTGAATGATTAATTACTTCACTGATAAAAAAGATATACTTGAACTAAAGTCGTCATCGTTCTTGAAAAAAAAATTTAGTTGCAAGAGAATTTATTTTAGCGTAAAAGAAAATATTTTGCCTGAAGAAAAGCTCTCTTAACTCAAGAAAACTGGTTCTCTTCAAAAATTCGAAAATTTCTCTTGAATCTATTTTCATTCAAACAAGTGCAAGTTACTTTGTTTTAAGATAATACGAAAAATACGCTAGGAAGTACTTCACTCAAGAAACATGGCCATTTTTCCAATAGCTAAATACTCTTTTGATGAAAAATAATAATGACACGCAAAGACAATGACGAAGGACGGTATAGGTATACAATCAGTCGGCAGTCCGATCATCATATCATAGTACGCACGGGTTTTGTTGCTTGGAATTTTGCATAATTTGCTTTTTAAGCGCATATCGTATAACAAATTAGTGATCGTTATTAACACGCATTTGTCATTTTTATGGACAAATTTTAGGATATATGGATTCTTTAATGGAGTTTCTGAAAAAATGGAAATTAGAGCATTTATTTGCTATATTTGAAGGTAAGAGACATTTACCTAATGCACCTGTTTAGATAATGCATGCGTGACTATAGATAGAATAAGAATATAGGTATCGATTTTTTTATGCAAATAATTACAAAAATTTTAGAATTTCAAGTCGTCGTATTAAAAAAATCAAAATGTGACCAAAGCTTATAATTTTAATAATTTATTTGCTTTACTTTGATTAATGGTGATGTAACATTTTTTTGTAATTTGTAGAGTGATGAACCACCCCAAAAAATACCAAGGAGTGAAGAAGCAGAAATATCTACTATCGAGGAAAATAATATCACTTTACTTACTACAGACCAGGAAAACCTAAATTTATCAGAAAATAATATACCTCGTAATATGCCTGTATATGATGTATAGACTTCTCTTAGATCAAAATAAATTTTAGTTGAGTCAATAGTATTCGCTATTGGTTTAAGAAAAGTGTCTTTTAATCAAGAAATGTCCCTTTTCAATCAAGAATTTTTGCATGAATCAAAGAGACTATTGTTCTTGTAGCAAGAACTTCTTTGCATATTCATTTTGGGTCAAGAGTGAAATACTTTGGACAGATAGATTCTTCTATTCTCTAAAGTAATTTTTTAAAGCTTATGAAAAGATAGTTAATGCTTTGGGTAAAGAAACGTCGTTCTTGGCCCTATTGAAAAGCGCCAATCTTTTGGGTCAAAGTCATATTCATTTCGACAGAGAGATCCTTTTTTCAGTGTTTCACTATAATGGTGAGTATTGAAAAAATCACGATAAAAGCAAATTTCAGTTTCAAAAACCGAAAGTTACGGAAAAAGATCATATAAAAATTTCCCCTGAATGGGAAACGATTTTTAATTGCCGTTTTTCTTGACTGCAATTGCTTCCAAGCGATAAAAATCCATAACAGCACCAATAAATTATTGAAAAAGCCGCAACAAAAATGATGCCATAACCCTAATTTTTCTATTTTTTTAATTCGTCATCTAGCACGTGACTAGGAGCTCCATGGCAAGGTCTCGCATCACCTAGAGGAAGATCATTACTCATACTTACATAGTCTCTTTGTATATGTATATTGGTAAGAGTGTCTTGTGCTGCTTACCATTTTTAAACGTTATTAAAACATTCCAACAAAAATATTTTCTGTTGGTATTAAAAATATCTGTAAACATTAAATTGAAGTGATGTCTGTTCAATAATAACAAAAAAGTGACAATTTAAACAAATTTATTTCATTGTGGGCATATTACTAAAAAAGAGTTTACCAAAAAAGTTTTCTTTTCATTAGGAGAAAAATAAATTCCATCTTTTTATATGAATACTCTACACAAATATTTTTTCAGAATCCCCATTTTTATAATCAAAAGTAAATAAAGTCCAAAATTAAATTAACTTAAAATCAGAGGAACGTATTTTTCAGTCCCTACAATATCGCAAGGTTCAGCGCCCCTTTTATAAAATTTTTCTCATTAATATAATATTTTTTATTTCTATATTCTCCACCCTTACGCTTTAATTAATTCTATGGTACATTTTTAATCCAATTTAAGCTTATTTTTTCGTATTTAGGACTTCATTAAAAGGCCTAAATTTTAGGCCTAATTATATTACTTCATTGTAATATAATTAGGCCTAAAAGCTGGTCATGATTTCTGTCGTGATGTTATTTAGAAATGTTCATATTTTTTTGGATGTTTCATATTATTATGTTTTATGTTTTACATTTATGCTGAAAAGTCAGTTTGCCCTGTCAAGTAAACGCGAGCACTTTTTGTCCAGAAAAATCATTTTAAAAATTACGATGAGCGATTCTGAAAGTCTCCCTTCAGATGTAGAACTTGCCGCAGTACGTGCCACGGAATCATTATTGCCGGAAAAGTTAATATATTTAGATGTTCGTAGTTGTTTTTCACTATTATAGCAACTAGTTGTGTTATAGAGAAGCTGAATAAATTAGGCAAAGAAAACAAAGTCCTCCTACACTGGGTGCCTGCTCACCAAGGGATAGAAGGCAATGAAAAAGCAAATAATCTAGCTAGGAAAGGAGCGAACACTCCACTAACTGGACCAGAACCGTTCTGCTTTCCAAGTGGTAACCAACTCAAGGCGGAACTCAAGAACTTGGAAGATTCCATCCGCAACCTGGAATGGAAATCTTGCAATGGTCTAGGACACTCGAAGAAGTTTCTGAGGGCTTATGATCAAGAAAAATCACAGATCTTCCTGGGTCTGAGTAAGAACAATCTTCGGATTGTCACGGGGTTTTAACAGGACACTGTCTCCTTAATGAACACCTCAGTAGATTGAAACTAAGAAGAAACGGCGAATGCAGATTCTGTGGGGAAGATGGTGAAACACCAGTACACCTCATCACTGAGTGCGCCGAGACGACAACCATTCGTGCCATGAATTTTGGTACGACTGATATTGGAGATGGAGAACTACCCTCTATAAAACCGTCCCAGATACTGGCTTTTATCAAAGCCCTGGGACTGTATGATGAGTTATGATTCAGGAAAGGGGGACACAATGGATCTGTAGGGTCGAAGTGATTAGCCCCCCTCCCACTCATTCTAAATTCTAAATGTGTTATAGATTCATAACACCACTAGTTGTGTTATGAATCTCATAACGTAACTGAAATACTAAAAAAATAGTGATGTAAAAACGTTATAACTAAACGGTTGTAGATAAATAAATTGATAGAGTAGTAAGTTAAAATAAGTGTCTATGTTCATTTTATATTATTACTCAAAATCAATTCATCATTCATTTTCAATTACTTAAAATCTCGATTGTGTTTCATGGTTGTTATCTATAAAAGGTAGAGGGAATTATGGAATCTCAATTCCTATTAATAATACCCCAAAAGAGTTATAATTTTATTTTTTATGGTGAGCGAAACCACAAGACGATATAACTTTATATTAATTCAGTAAAAAATAAAAGGGACTTACTTTGCCACAATGTCGACATTTGCCCTTCTCCGACCTTCGATGGACCCAATGGTGCTGGATGGTGGTCTGTTCCCGATACTGGCGCACGCCAACGTCCCGAAACGTCGGCTTGCACGTGAACTTTTGCCTGTTGATCAAAACGGGAATGCAATTCTGATGGGCGATCACGTTGCAGGCGGAGCATTTCATCCGTGAACCGTGTTTCTGCAATTAATGAGAAAAAATAAACATTTAAAACTCGAATAACGTCTTTTAATTTTACCAAACATTCATAAGCAATAAGTTTGGACATTAGGTTTTTGGACATTTGGACTAAATATTACCAAAGCGGCGTCTTTAGTTTACCAAAATATAACTATTCTATAAATAGATTGGTGTTTTGGGCTGAAAATGATTTAGCCGACGAGAAAGCTATATTTTATACGATTCCTCGGTAATAAAATGGCCCCTGTCCGTTTACAAGAAATATTAGATAAGGAAAATAGTTTTGTGTAGGAGAAACGAATCCAATCAATCGTTATAAACGTTATAAATCAGTAACGGAGGCCCAACAACCCCGGAGGTCACGATGGATGACCGGTAGAGGGAGGTCACTAAATCAGGTAGAGGCCCGGCTATTTTCTCATAAGCATTGATTCATGGCGTTTATAACACCATATCCCTTTTTTTTGGTGTTCAGGTATTTTCATTAAAATTTAAAAAAATACAAAAAATATACAGTGTAATAAAGTCTGCATTATATAATGTTTTATATGATTTTTTTAGAAAGAAAATACATTCTAATAAATAACACAGTACTGAAAATAATAGAAAAATATACAGGGTGGTCCAAACTGCATTCCGGAAACTTCGGCAACATATTCTGCAGATAAAAATAAGTAAAAAAGTTCGTTTAAATGTATGTCCTAAAATGCTTAGTTTCGCAGATGCAGGGTGTAGAAATTTCATTTTTATTTCGATTTTTCCAAATAATAGGAGTCAATAATAGGAGTCATATTGACATCAAAATCAAATTTCTCATGTCAAAAAACTCCCAGACACCAATTTTCATTCAAATATCGACATTATTTTGTGAACGCTCCCCCGTTTTAGAGAGAAGTCACAGACGCCGAGTTGCCTTGCTTCGGTTCCTCGGGCGCCACCCCCAAGTTTAAAGTGTTTGAGAGACCACTAGTGCCAATACGGGTAGCTTTTATATAGTGGAGATACCAGGGAGTGATGAGATGAAAAGAAAATAAAACACATAATTAACTATAACGTAACACTAGGTTTTTATTTAACTAATTAATTATGTACAAAAATAATACAGAAAAGTTCGCGTTCTTTAATTGTAACAATAATAAAAATAAAATAAATATTTAGTACCTCGCAGAACAAAATTTATACTAACAACCGTGTACCTCTAGAGTTTTGATCGATTATTCCCGATATGTAACTCTCTGACTGATTCTATCCCGTGAATTAAAAACGCGTTCCCGCAATGACGTTCTATTAAATAAAACGACGCGAGTTCCTAATCGACGTGGAATCTAGCGGCGTCCTAATGGACACAGACACGTAAGTACCGGAGTAACACACTCTACTATGACGCGACTCTCTAAGCGGCGGCGACGTCGTTACAGGCGTCCCGATGGTCACAGCTAAATATTTCTCGGAACGGCGGCGGCGTCCGTTTTGACAACGAAACACGGACCTCGGATCGGCGTCGAAGTTAAAAGCGTCCCGGAATACACAAACGCGAGTCCTGGATCGATCGCGAAATTAACAGCGTCCTGTGGGACACAAACGCGAGCCCTGGATCGATCGCGAAGTTAACAGCGTCCCGTGGGATACACAAACGCGAGTCCTGGATCGATCGCGAAGTTAACAGCGTCCTGTGGGATACGCAAACGCGAGTCCTGGATCGACCGCGAAGTTATCAGCGTCCTGTGGGATACGCAAACGCGAGTCCTGGATCGATCGCGAAGTTAACAGCGTCCTGTGGGATACGCAAACGCGAGCCCTGGATCGATCGCGAAGTTAACAGCGTCCCGAGGGATACACAAACGCGAGCCCTGGATCGACGTAGACGTTAGCGACGTCTCGGCGAGTTATACGTCGTTTGGATAAGCGCAGCCCGCACACACACCGCCCGGTCAGGACAACCTCGGGATTTCGGCGAGATCCCGTCCAGCGTCACTGATGCAGGGTGTCGTCCGGACGACACACCTAGAAAAATACGGGAGCTACAAAACCAGCCTCGGGATTTGGCGAAGTCCTGTTTTAGCTCCGTGAACATTCGCGACCCGTGCGTTTACTGAACTACCCTGACTGTCCCTTAAGAAGATGAATTAATTATTAGCCCATAATTAGCTTTCCCCGAGAGGTACACTGAGCCGGAGCAGATGTCAGACAACCTTTAAAAGAAAAGGACATGATTCCTGGCGACCTGCCCGTAGCACAGCGTAGTCCCTTTTTGCCTGCTCGGCAATCCTGGCAATTTTAATATTAATGAAGAAAACCACGAACTCTCATCTCATCAACCGAAGGATACGTCAGACCGGAGCAGATGTCAGACAACCTTTAAAAGAAAAGGACATCATTCCTGGCGACCTGCCCGTAGCACAACGTAGTCCCTCTTTGCCTGGTCGGCAACGGTTGTTCTCCCGCGCTTTTAATATCCTAACAATCTCGTCAATTAACTCCCTTATCCCTATAACGCGTCCAGGTAGTCGAGTAAACGCTTAATAACAATAAAAATAATACGACCTACCCTCGATCACTTTGGCGGTGGGTGCTTACCTTATACAGTGCGGCGACAGGCGGCTGGCAGCAGGACACTTGGCAGGGCACTCCGGACTCGAACCTCACTGTTTCGCGTGTCACCACAAACTGTCTCTCTAGAGCTGCTAGAAGTGTCTAGCCCTAGCAGTCAACTATTAAGCTTGACCAATCAGGTTGGTTAGCGTGGTTATTTGAGGGTGTTAATTCATTTGTGTTTGTCAAAAACTCTAACGTGATTGGTCGGACTTAATAGTTGCCTGCTAGGGCTAGACACAAGTGAGCTGCTGTAGCCGAGGTACTCGACTGACGCTCCCCTCCACTCAACCTGCACTGGTAGGGAGAGCGGCGCAAACGTCTCGGTTTCTCGCACCGAACCACAGCGACCAAAACCGATCAAAACTCTCTTACAAAATGGCAATTAAATATTTAACTTATTTAATTCAACAATAGAAACACTAATGAAGTTCATTACAATAATGAGTTAACAATAAAATACATTGACTGTCATTATTAAAAGAAAATAAAGTCACTATTATTCTAGTATAATATTAACACAATATACAGGGTGTCCTAGAAATTTTTATGAACTTCATTACAATTTCAGAAATTATTTGGAAAAAATCGAAATTAAAATGAAACCTTCTATACACCTCTGAAACAAACTATTTTAGGATATAAATTTATACGAACTTTTTTACTTATTTTTGTCTGCAAAATATGCTGCCCAAGCTTCCCCAATACAATTCCACCCGGTATAACTTAGGTCTGGCTTTTATTTTGATCCTTGACAATATCTCTTTGGGTTAAATATTCGAGATATATTCCAGTAAAGTTTCAGATAAATCTTCACATATAAGTCGTACTTTTACGAGGCTTTAGTAACTTCTAACAATTTTATAGACATTTCGAAGATTATTCTTGAATCAAGCCAATGGACATGAACATATATTTTTCTGGAAACTTTTTCAATAATCCCAACATACAAATATAAAGACTAAGATAAGCGTAAGCGGAAATTTGTCGAATTTAGTACCTCATCCATCGAAAAATTTGAAAAGTTCTCCATACAGCAAACTTTTCATATTACGTGTACGCCTGATACGGGAAAATTGCCAAGCGTAAACCAGGGATTTTCGGGATTATTTACACACACAAGGACACATGTGTTGGTCGTACGGAATATTTAGTATTAGAGGATATTGCCAGAAAATATCTGTTGGAAGAGCTAGTGTAAACATACCTTATTAAAAAATACTTTATGTTAATACTTTTGGCGCTGCAACACGTAGAGACAATATGAGGTATCTTATATTAGTAAAACATCTAAACTTATACTGGGTGGTGCATCGTTGTTGGAAACATACAAATTTTGAACTGTCCAAATATTGGGTCCCCTATCCGGCTGCAGGATTATTACGCTCATCATGTTTTTTATCAAAACCTAATTTTAACATACATGTATGAATAGGGGAATATACTTTTGACAGGGTGCCATTCAAAAAGTTGCCGCAAATAGGGGTTGCCATTGTTCAACGTTTTTCCTACTACTTTATACGGGTCCGGCAACAATGCGTCGGGCATCTGTAGCTCCTGTGATTAAAAAAACTTAGGAATTTTGGATAAGTGCGAACCTAAAGTATGTATTAGGATGTATTTCAGGAAAATATTTTAACTTCTACAGGGTGGCTAAAAAAAAGTGAGTGGATTGGGGTGATTTTTTTTAAATGGAACACCCTGTCTATTAGTGCATTTTTGGATTCCTTTCTCATCACTTTACATAATCCTAAGCTATTATAAAATATGTATGTTTGTGTAGTTTCCGGAATATTAATAAATATTAATAAATTCGTTCCTCAGTCTTTTTTTTTAAATATTAAAAATACAAAACATTGATATCATAACTATACTAGGTATTTATTATAGTTGGCCTGTACAGGGTGGCTCGAATTCGACGCTCATCATTGGGATTTCGGAAACCGTAAGAGATACAGGATCGGTTAAATGGAGGCAAAGTTGCGCAATTTGATGCTCAATAAAATGCCGTATTGCATTTTTATTTTTTTTTGCGTAAAATATTCTGGTGATGGAGTCTTCTGTACGAAACGTCGGCAAATATCAAAGTGACTATATATAGTGTTTTAAGAGTGATGAAAGGATTTAATTAAATTGAAAAAAAAAATCAGGTCCGTATTTAAAAAAAATAAGTTGATGATGGTCGCCAGAAGCCAAAACGTCAGAGTCAATATTTAATCACACAGAGTTATAGAGCAAAAAAAGTGGCCATGCAAATTGTTTATCATTTTAAGTTATCTTAACAAATAAAGCCAGGAAACAATAGAAAACAAAATTGAAAATTCCGTTTTTTTTTCGAATATATTCGGAAGTATTCGGAATTTTTCAAAATGCAATACGCATTTTATTAAGCATCAAATTACGCAACTTTGCCTCCATTTAACCGATCCTGTATGTCTTACGGCCTCCGAAATCCCAATCATCAGCGTCGAATTCGAGCCACCCTGTACTTACTTTGCTATAAATATCGTAATTTTAAACCATACAATGTGATCAAAATTCTATGCCAAACTTCCTAAAATATAAAATAATTTATATTCGTCTTTTTAAATAGAACACCCTGTTATTATTTTTTTTGTTAGATAGAGAATTAAAAAATGAACATATTTTTGTATTTAAAGCATTTCAGAATTTTTAGCGGTACAAGTTTTTGGTTGATAGATCTCTCCAAAATTATCTTTGATTGTCATTCCCCAGCCTTTTTTTTTCAATCACACTGTAGAACATTAATGTTTTTCAAAGATTTACTAATTTAATTAACGAAAAAGTTAAAAAGTAGTGTCTTACCGTGCAATCTGAATCGCCGACGTAGCAAAAATCACCGGACACCGACGTAGGCACCCATAAATGATCGCCGTTGACTGCGCCTTCGCTCCAATCGGGTGTACTGCGCAGAGGTCTTTCCGCAGCGCCTGATATCGATTTTCTGTAACAAAAAAAACAAAATTAAGTTGCGAGTTAATCAAGAGTCAAGCCGCATCAAAAGAGATCAACTCAGTTACCATCAATTCGAAGTTGGTCAAAGAATGCCTAAGGAAGCTGAACAAATTAGGCAAAAATAACAAAGTTATCTTTGTGCCAGCTCACCTCAACTATGGTTTCCATTAAAAAAACATAGGTTTGTGTCATATGTCAAAAATGACAGACTTTAGAAAAAATATCTAGTAACCCATAAACTAACTTTAAAAATCCGAAAAGCGCATATATTTTTCCTCACAAAACTGCAATTCTTTCCCTGTTTAACCGACTCTCTAGCTCCAGTAGTTTCCCAGACACCCATAGAGAACATCGTAAAAAACTCGCCCTGTAGATAAAAATAGAGATTTGTTACACTGGAAAAATCAAATTCTTTTTTTTTGGGTTGTAGTGTAACAACTCAAATTTGTCAACAAAGTTGAAGAGGTAATATTTTGGCCAACTGTATAACAAATAATTTAAATGAAAGAAAGGAACCTACGTTGTGTTAAATATTTTTTTATAGTGATTACCTCGGATGCGCCTCGACAAAAGCAATATTTTGGGAAATTTGAGAAGAATAGGTTATGTAAATAAAACGCTAAATTTGTAAATAGCCTTACTTATTTTGAAATGAAAGGAGTGCCGTACTCTGCCTGGAATTCACATGTAAAAGAGCATGTTCAGGACAACTATGTTGTCCTGAAGTTTAATAAAAGAGAAACTGTCCTCATACCTAGGTTTATAATTTAATACATTCAAAACATGCCACATTTATACCGTTCAAAACTGAAGAAAGTTAGTTTAACGGGTCCCACCCGTAGGTACGAAGTCTCTTGTTGCGGAATCGACGCTAAAGTTTGGTGTCAATATCTTTAGAAATTATATATATTAGAATCTTTATAAATTATTCTATTTATTGTTTTTGTTTGCCCTTTTGCGAGCTAAGATATTCGCCCATGCACGATCGAAAATTGTTAGTAGACTCAACAAGGCCCTTATTCTTACAAACCACAAACATCGGCACGAAGGAACAGTAAACGATTTTATTTAGATTACTTTTAAATTGAAATTATCTACAGCATAAATTGATTTCATTAAATGCATACACTTGTTATATATTGTCTTTGTCAGATCAATAAATGAACAAGGAAAAGCTTTAGAACAGAATTACAACAAGAAAACAAAATAATATGATTTAGTTAACATTAGTTAAATAATGAGAAAATATTTACTTTACCTTTAATAACATTCTTTTTCACAAAACTAAAGAACTAAAATAATATCGATGCGTCTCGAATGGTAGTCTAAAAGTTATTATCTAACAACTATCATCTCTGGTCGTCGCCTGATTTCCCTCTCCCTAGTTTGTGAATAATATTTTAAAAATCAATAATTTTGTTTATGTATACAGAGTGTCTTAAAAATGAATGTTTTGAATTTGAAGAAATATGTCTATTTTTAAATAGGCGGTTCATCTCAGGGTATTTGCTGTTAAGAAATACAGAAATTTGCAAATACCACAACTGTTATTGTTATAGATTTCTGTTGTCTACATTAATATCATAGATAACTTGCTAATTTATTCCTGTATAAATATGGGATTGATTGAGATACTGACATAATAAAGTACTTTAGATTAAATAATGCTGTTTTGTTTATATCGAAAATATAGATGGTAAATATTACTATACAGGGTAGTCCGAACTGTAATCGGAAAACGCCGTATTCCACAGAAAAAAAGTAAAGAAGTTTGTATAATTTTTTTTTCAAACGTCACAAAAGTATTAATTTTTGCGACATGATTGACGATATAAAAAAGTCATTTTAACGTCTAGGCATAAAAGTAAAGAACTTTTACACCTAAGCACAAAAGTACGAAAATATATTATGAAACTGACATAAAGTGTTAAATTCAACGAACGTAACCCGAACGTATTCTCGAAATATAATTACATACAAGATATTACTTAAATAATTTTATATGATTTGGAACGTTTGAAATTGTTGAAAAATTATTTGTGGCGTTTCATAAAAAATAGCATGTTTTTTTCGGAGTAAAAAAGTGTCTTTTCAAAAAAACGTACAGCCTCGCCACAATAAGCATCATTTTTACTCCTAATAAAACAATATATCGTATGATCGAATAAAAACGGCGTCAGTGATGGCTATAGAATGAAGATCGCTGTCATTTTATATGGGAAATGTGTGTCATCGATCGTCATTTCCAAGCCAACTGGACGCCGTTTTTTTTTTCGATCATACGGTACTATTATTTATTTTTTTCCAAATACGTCAATATTTTGATCAAAATGTTTGTTGAGTGTTTTTTGCCATTGTAAATTCAATTAAATAAAAAATAATAATAAAAATTAATAATAACCATCCATCAAAGAACGAAAAAGGAACATTACCATAGAAACGCTTTTTAGTTTTTTATTCAGTTATATTTTCATACTTTTGTTCATTTTCCTCTATAACGGTATAGAAATTAGGAAAACCATAAACCAAATTAACCATTTTAGAAATCGAAGAAACTTTAATAAAAAAATCCACTACACTATCCAGAGACATACTGTATAATAAAATATTTCCAACTAAATAAAAACTACAACTTCAAAATATAGTAAAACAATGTCACAAATTCGAGTCAGGTCAGAACAAAAACATTTCGGAGAAATCAGTTTTAGTGAGAGGAAAATCCGTACCAAAAAACCTACGTAAAAACTTTTCTTCCCTAAGTCTCGCCGAAAATACTAATTTTCTCGAAGATTTCTCGAGGAACAACCTTTGGGGGAGATAAGTCGTAATAATTACTCAATCAGCGCTAATACAGTCGATTACTAGGGGTTTCTCTTAACTTCCCGTTGCAGTAATAGATTGGCAATGATTGAGGTACTTTTACCGAAGTAAGAGGTGAAAATAAAAAAGAAAAAAAATGTCGAAGACTCTTAGTGACTTATTTTTACGTGAGGAATCTCCCCACGAGAGACGGCAAATGTTTTTGAAACACCCTGTATTTGTTGCAATTTTTGATGAATACCGCTCATAACTAGTCCAGATATTATATAATTTATTTTATTACTCAGTTAAGATTACGACAGACGATGACAGAAAAAAAGTAGATGACGTCCATACTAGTGATGGGCAAAACTGTTATTTTTAGATAACAGTTGAAACTGTTATTGTTATTTATAACAAACAGCTTAAAATAACAGCTTAAAAATAACAGGTTTCTTTATTTTATTGCTGAATATCTGAAAGAGTATGAGGCGGTCACCGCCAGGCGTATTAACGCAGCTGCAAGTTGCAACAATGACGTGCTCGGTGGTAGTATTTCCAGGGTGTCATAACATTTCTAAATATCGATTGTTATCTAAAATACCTCTCTAAAAACGGGGGTTGTTTACAAATAAGCGCTGTTTACAAATTGCGATATAAAAAAGCCAAAATGCCGCCACTCGTCTATATCTATAAATTCCGATCTACTTACGCCCTACCCCTCGATCCGCGTAGATTCTGAATTGCGTAGCAGTGTACAGGGTGCATCTCACTCGACGGGCGAGAAGCTCTTAGTTATGATTTTACCATTTGCGGTCAAAAAATAGCAATATAAGAAAATGTGTAGTATATTCTTCATAAGTAAACCAACTACACACTAGAGTTCGAATTAATTTTACACTTAAACTAGCATGTACAGTTTGACAAATATAGGAAGAGACTTGGGGATAGCACGGGTCGCGCACACATAGAGAGAGAACGCATTCGGCGGAAGAGAGATTCAGTTACGCTACGAAAAATCTGATTGAAGCAAATTTGCCGGATGTCCACTGCGCATCGGGGGACGTCTCTTATTTTATATTTCTCACGTCTCTAGCTATACTTGTTAAGTTGTACCCGCGACTTCGTTCGCGTCGAATTATTAATTTGTAATGGTGATGATAAAGCAAAGCAAGAATTTCCATTAACATACAAACTGGATAAAATTTTCTCACATTTGCCAAAAATATGCTTTAAACGTCGAGCAGTTTAAACAAAATCGTGGTTAATCAATTACTCAACTTTTTGGAATACCCTGTATTATTTTTTAAAAAATTTCAAAATATGTAAAAAAACAAAATAAATTATGCGTGTCCAATCGTTTTCCCGAAAGACTAACCGTTTTTTAAATAATAAATATTATAATATTTGAGGGGCGTTTTCACCCTCTTGGAATTTGAGATTCGAGAAACCCCTCCTTATCGCACCTCTACACCCCACAGTCAATCCGTTTGCCAAAAATCAGCTTTAAAGGTCAAGCAGTTTAAGCAGAATCATGATTACTCAGTGGTCATATTTTATGAAACACCCTGTATATATTTTGTAAAAATCTCAAAATATGTAAAACAACAAAATAAAATATACGTGTTTAAGAGTTTTTTTCGAAAAACTCGCCAGTTTTTAAATAAAAAATATTCTAATATTTGAGGGCGGTTTCACCCCCTTAGAATTTGAGTTTCGAAAAATCCCTTCTTATCGAACCTCTACACACTAAAGTCAATCCGTTTTCCAAAAATCAGCATTTTACGTTAAGGGCTTTAAGCAGGATCGTGATTAATCAATGACCAGATTTTTCAAAACACCCTGTATACATTTTTAAAAAATCTTAAAATATTATTCTGAAAATTTTTCAGAATAAATAGATACTTAAATATTCAAACTTAATAACAAAGTACTGAAACATACAGCGCCATAATATCTCGACCTCCGCCCGTTATGCTCGTAACAGGTTGAAAAACAATATGTATCTAAAACAACTGATGCGTTATTCTCCAACCTGTTTCAAACCTCCATCGACCGATGCAGCAGCATTACTTTGCCACTCCGATTATCTCGAACGCCGTTCTGTTATGCTCGTAACAGGTAAAAAAACAACATAGCTAAAACAACTGATGCGTTATTCTCCAACCCGTTGGGAGCCTCCATCGACAA